GTTCAAGGCTCTTCTGTTTCAATGCATTAAATATATCATGCCATTCTCTTCTGGCCTGTAAGGTTTCTGTTGAGAAGTGTGATGATAGCCTGATGGGTTTTCCTTTGTAAGGTGTCCTTTTTCCTCTCTCTAGCTGCCTTTAAAATTCTGTCCTTGTCCTTGAGCTTTGCCATTTTAATTATTATGTGTCTTGGTGTTGCCCTCTTTGGGTCCCTTCTGCTGGGGGTTCTGTGTACTTCTGTGGTCTAAGCAACTATTTCCTCTCCCAGTTTGGGGAATTTTTCAGCAATTGTTTCTTCAAATACACTTTCTATCCCTTTTTCTCTCTTCTTTTTCTTGTACCCCTATAATGCGCATATTGTTCCTTTTGGATTGGTCACACAGTTCTCTAAATATTGTTTCAATCCTGGAGATCCTTTTATCTCTGCGTCAGCTTCTGTGCATTCCTGTTCTCTGCTTTCTAATCCATCAATGGCCTCTTGCATTTCATCCATTCTGCTTTTAAATCCTTCCAGAGATTGTTTCATTTCTGTATTCTCCCTCCTTAGCTCTTGCATATTTCTCTGCAAGTCCATCAGCATGGTTATGACCTTAGTTTTAAATTCTTTTTCAGGAAGATTGGTTAGGTATATCTACCCAGATTCATTTTCAGGGGAGACTGTATGTGTTAATCTGGTCTGTATCAAATTCTTCTGCCTTTTCATGGTGATAGAGATAGTCATGGGTAGTTGGCATGTCAGCTTGGAGTACGTCCCTTCTTGCTAGTTTGTGGCCTTTCTTTCCTGGGAGAACGGCAACCTCTAGTGGCTTATGCTGGGCAGTTGCACGCAGACAGAGTTTCTGATTCTTGCTCGGCCATTGTGAAGGAACGTCCGCATGCAGTTGCTATGGCAGGGCCGCGCCAGAGCAGGAATGGGCAGGAGGCTATCACTGTGAGAGGCCTCGGAGCTGTGCTGCTGCCCAGGGAGTTAGGGTGCCTAGAGTTCCCCAGGTTGAGCTGATTGTGCCAGGTCACCTCCGTCCAGCTGTGAGGTCCCTGTCCCTTTAAGACTTTCAAAAACCAGTTTTGTTTGTTCCAGGGGCGCCGGCTGCGGGGACCCACTCTTAAGTTTTACTATCCCGTTTCCGTAGTATGCAGCAGACCACACAGTGTCTCTCTGCTCCTGGTGTGGATGACTAGGGCTGGGTATTTAGCAGTCCTGACCTCCCTCTCCCTCCCTGTTCCGACTCCTCCTCCTGCCAGGAGCTGGGGTGAGGGGCGCTCAGATCCAGCCGGGCCATGGTATTTACCCCCTTCGTGAGGCGCTGGGTTCTTGCAGATGCAGATGTAGCCTGGCTGTTGTCCTGTGTGTTCTGGTCTCTTTCCAGAATAGTTGTATTTTCAAAAATATGTATGTTTTTGGGAGATTTCTGCTTCTCTACTCACACCGCCATCTTGGCTCCACCTCTTCTATCATTTTCTTAACTTTCATTTCCAAATGGGCTGGTTTTGATTTGTACATTATCTGTAAAGTTGTGCTCTTGATTCTTTTAACTTTGTAAGAGATGGATCTAAACATTTTTGTTTCCTTTTTAAAGTAAAGTTGGTTTTCTTAATCTTTGAGAAGCAAGCATTGTTTATGGGAGCTTCTTAAACTTCAGTTGTATGTTCAAAAAAGGGTATTGTATGATTCATCAGTTCCTTCTTCCACTTGTACGTAACCTTCCCTTTGTGTTTACTGTCCCTCTCCTGCTCAGTGTTGGTCTTACTCCCAGCAGCTTCTCTCCTGTGGGGGAATCTGCCTTAGAAGGGAGCCTTAGCAAATCAGTTTCCACAGTTCGCGTGGACTAGACTGCGTCCGTCTTTCAGCCATTAGAGGCCTCTCACTCATGTACCATTTGAGTGAAGAGTTTCCAATGCTGTTTCCAGCCTCAACTGCTTGCATTTCAAGTTAATCCAAGATTCTGTTCTCAAGATGTTTCAGATCCCTGCTTGCCTTCCTCTGCTTCCCCAGAATAGATACCAGAACCATCTTGTGGTCTTGTGGCTGCTGGTGGCTTATTGTCCTCCACTTAGACTTTGGGATTTAAGGATATCATATCACCTAAATTTGTTGTTATGTTGTTCATAGGTTTTAGATTTTGCTATCCAGTTTGTTATGTGGGGATTGGAGAACTGAAAGGTGATGGTACTGCTGCCCTCCTCCCCTTCTCCTATACTGTTTTTAAAGGTTTTCAATCAGTTCCATTTTCAGCCTTATCTCAAGCCCTTGGTAACCAGCATGTCTGCATTTATTGAGCTTGTCTAAACTTTTACCTCTTGTTGGCTTCCGCCACTGGAGGAATGAATCATTTTGTTGCTAAGTCACTTACCAATTCCATTTACTGGCCTGATGTCTCTTCTTCTGTTAAACCTTGTGGATTTATAGTACATCCTATTCCTTTTCTATTATTTAAGTGGCATTCTAAATGGGTGAGGAGATAAACATTGCAGATATTGATTCACATTCTTTGTTCTGTAACAGGAAATGTTCATACAGAATACAAATTTGCTTTTGTTCTTTGGATTTGGTCTCTAGAGACTGGTTTTTAGTTTTGCTTGTTCAAATTTTATGCTGTTTCTTACAACTTTATGCTTTTTGTTTCATTCTGACCTCTTTATCTAAGAGTCTTCTAAGTCTCATTTAAAAATAAAAATGCTCTGTTTCCTTTCCTTTATCCTCTATTATCTCAGATACGTTAATAATTCCTTACTTTCTGCTACTGACTTCAGATCTTCACGTGCAAAGTGGGTTTTCTTTCCAGGTATCTTCCTACATCTTTGCAGAGATTACATATAATAGACCCTGCGGTGTAGAACTTTACACTGCATCTACCACACTAGTTTAAAATATATGTCACAAAATTTTTTTAACCCACACTTCAAAAAAGACTTCTTAAGAAAATCTGAGGCTATTTTGAAGTTGAAGAATACTAATGACATAAGTAGTTCCTTTTACATGAGTCTAAAATCAGCTTTCCTTCACTGTTAATCTGCAACCCGAACTCTTCAGGGATGACAGAGCACAATGTTTCACTTGTGCAATGATCTTTAACCCTTCCAACTAACCATCCCATCCCAGCAACTTTATTTTAACTAACCCTGAAAGACAGACAGGAAAGGCAGGTGACAATTTTAAAGCTTGGAGAAATAAAGTGATTTCACCTAGGATAAAATAATAAAGACCTGTGGTTTTCATTTGCCATCCTTAAACTTGACAACACTACAGAAATCTTTAAAGTAGATTTTTATAAATTCCAAGGGACTTGTCCAATTAACACTGAAACTTCCAAAAACTATCAAAGATAAAATTGTTTCTCTAGTTAGCTTCTTATGACAATATAAAAAGCTGAACAAAAGAAACAATTACATAATTAATATACAAACTGTGCTTTAAAAAATGTTATAGATCTAAGAATAAATCTTTCAGAGAACTGCCTCATTCCCTAATAGAACTTCAAATTGATAGAGGCTTTCTTGCAGGCAATGGCCTCCCAGCTGCCTCGTCACTGGAATATTGCTCTCTGGACACGTGTACAATCAGATTTGTTAAATATATCCTCTTCTGTTTCTGGAGTCAGCTGGATGTTATCTTTGACTGGAGACAGGGGTTCTGGCTTTTTACAAGAAGGAAGTTTTTCAGCATCTCTGTAAAATATAATACATAAATTTGCTGTTTTTAAGGGTACTGATTATCACAGAAATACTACCTAGACATAACAGAGGTGTAAGAAGAGGGTAAGACCCTTTATTGTACAATTTGTCTCAATTCGTTATATGACAAATTCAGGTTCTCCTCTGAAACTGCCTAACAAAATTCAACTTTGGCTTCTTAGTTCCCCTTCCTGCTTCCTACATCACTTTTCAAAGAAGGTGCTAGGCCAGTACTAATGTATGCCTGCTAAGGCAGGATGAGTCCTATAAAGAAACTTCAGTTCCTCTCTTTTTAGCACCCCTCAAGTCTAAGAACTAACATTAAGAAGCACAAACAAATGTTTAACCACTATCTTTTACCTCCCCCTCAAGATTTTTTTCTGGAAGGGAGCTCTGTCTGTAAGAATTCATCTTATTACGAACAAAAGAAAGATAATTGTCTTCCGTTAACAAAAATTCAACAACAGGAAGTCTTATATTCCAAAGACATTTAAAAATACTACCGCACCCTTAATTTCTCTCTAGTAGCAGTTCTCAAAGTATGGTCTCTGAGCTCCTAAACATTTCTAAGACCCTTTCAGCAGGTTTGCAAGATCAAAACTACTTCCACAGCCATATTTAGACTTTATCTCTTTTCCCCTGTACTGATATTTGTACTGATAGTCCACAAGCAGAACTGAGTAAAGCTGCTGGCAACTTAGCATCAGGACAACACCAAGCTGTACAGGAAATACTAATAGTTCCATATACTGGCAGTTAAAAAAAAAGTCTCACTTAACATTCTTAATGAAGTAGTAAGAAATCATTAATTTTATTAAATCTCAACCCTCTCAACTTCTTAATATTCTGTAACAAAATGGGAAAAATAAATAAGGCACTTTCGTTGCATAGTGAAGTATGATGGTTATCTCCAGTAAAAATTCACTTGTGACACTGTGGTTATTCTAATTTAGGTATTTGGCAAAGGGCTTCTCTAAAACAAACAGAGAACTTGTTTGTTACTTCAACAAAACAACTAATGGTATTTGTTGCCAATGATAAAATTCAAGCTTTCAAGTGAAAATAAGAATTCAAATTTTATCTGCCATCTAATACTCAAAGACTTTGCTGATATCATGCTCTTTAAATATTAAAATGAAATGTGTTAACATTTGGAAGACCAGCACAATTCAGTAAACTGACATTTTCCAAATGAGCAATGCATGATGTTATCAAATCATGCATGAGCAAAATATGGACTCAAAGTAGAATATGGACCAATGATCTGTAATGTAAGAGTATGAAGTCAATTGACATGGTTTCATACTCTACGTTGTAACTAATCTTTAAGAAACTACAGCTTGAATTTTGGTATATCAAAAAAGAAAATTCACAAATAAAAAGGCTAGCAAATAGTGACTGTGGCATCTTACTATATACTGTTGGGCACTGACTGCAATGGAGCATGGGGAGGACACAATAACATGGATTAATGTAGTAACCACATTGTTTTTTCATGTGAAACCTTCATAAGAGTGTAAAGCAATAATACCTTAATAAAATAAATATATAAAAATATATAAAATAAATAAATAAAAATAAAATAAAAAGGCTACTAAAATATATTAGTAAGTGTGGGGCCAGATCGTATTCATATACTTCATCCAAGGCAACATATCATAACAGGTCAAAGACAGAAAGAGATAATTATCCTGCTCAGTTTTATTAAACCAAAGAGTAAACATTTGCAAAAATTTAAAACAATGTCATTCATCTCACTTTTTTTTTTGTTTTGGAAAACATGGTCAGTTTTATAAAAATATTTACTGATTTAACATGTAATGGGATTATTACTACTTAAAAATAAATAAATAAATATTTTTAAAATGTCCATTTTAATTTTTAAGATGGCTAAATATTGATATAAGCCAAAGTATTTTTGGGCCGACAATAATTGTTAAGGGTATAAAGTGTTCCTCAAGGCAGAAAGTTTGAGAACTGTTATTTGATTTAATCCTAGACTTCACACAATGTTAAAAAATATATATAGCATTTATTTATTTATGAAGTGTTTCTACTCATACCATCTTATCTGATTGTTATGACATTTCTATTAGCAGAGAATAATCCTATTGCCCTATATGACTTTTCTTTAAAAAATTTTTTTATTCTCAGCGTATTTGCTTAATTGACAACAAGAAAATTAATTAAAAATTGATGCTGCTCTATGATAATTTTGTACTCTAAGAGAAGGAAGTCTTATGGTTTAAAAAACGTAGATATATAGAGGGTCAATTCTTTTAAAGCGTTGTTTCCCACACACGTTGGAAGTCTGGCAAATTGATCAGATATTCAATGATTCTCCTCATTTTAGATGTGATAGAGAAACAAATTGCCTTATATCAAGTAGTATGATACAGTATTACCTTCTCACCACCAAGTCTAAAGCAACTTTATTCTCATTACAATCCTGAGAGATAAGAAGGAAAAAAAAAGCTGAGACATTTAAGGCCTGGGGTACCTGGCTATAACAGAGACCCCAAAGCCAGATTAAGAAATGAGGATTACTTTGCCATCTTTTCACTAAAAGAAAATGTAGAAGTTGGAGTGAAATAAACTGTCAAAGAGTCAGCTAAAGGGGATAGAGGAAAAGAACTAGAGTTAGAGAAGAAAAAATTGATTCATGAGAAAATAAGAGTTGGGAGAACTGAAAACTACAGAAAAAATAACTTATCCTATCATAGAGTAAGTTACAAGCCAACTCACTTTTTAAATCCAAAATTTTTCCAGAGCTCATTGATTTTTATTTGCAATCCTGGCTTGTTCTCAGCATTATGATGATTTCTCTTCTGGATATTTGATGGCTTCTTACTCAGCCCACTGACTCTGGCAGGTACTAGAGGTTTGATCTTGGTTGTAGAAAGATTATCCATAGAACTAGATTTATACAGCCCAGGAACCTGAAGATTAAATGCCTGCTTTAATACTATTCTGTTAGAGCAACTATCTTTAGTTAACTTCCAATTATTCTTTACATGTATATACACTGGAACAGAAAAATCATCTATAAACAATGTATAAAAAGGTATTCTTTACAAATGTCAACTATAGAAATTACTGTATTTCTTAACAAACAATAATTGTAACTGGTGCTAAACTCAAGAGTTAGACTAGAGAGAGGAGTGGGCCTCCCTCACTGTCACTTCTCTAGTGATTGCTGTAATGAGTTTCCTGTGTCTCCACTAAATCCATTTACACACACACACACACACACATACACGTGAGCACGCACAACAGGCAGCATATTACACACTTGTGTGCTTTGTATTTTTCACTTAATATATCTTGACTCTACTTAATAATGTATCTTGGAGACTTTTCCTCTTCCCATGTAAAACTGAATTTTGTTTTGAATAGGTTACCTGTTTTTCCACTGTGTAAATGTGCCATAATTTACTTAAACAGATCTCTACTGACATTTAGCTTGTTTCCACTGTAGGGCTGACTTTTATGCTGTAGGAAATGTGTAGCCATTAGAGTTTTGCTTTTTTTTTGAATAAGAGTAAGGTATATAAAACAAGGCTTTAAAACGGATGAATCTGACAGAGGGTGTATAAACGATGGAAAGGTTCACATGTAAAGATGAAATCTTAAATTGAGGTGTTAGTGATGGAAAAATGGAGAGCAAGAAACAAGACCCAGAAATATTAGGATCTAGAGCATAGTTTTTGGTGTTTTCTTCAGTCCTTGTAGAAGGGCTGAGAAAAAGGATAATCACATGATTTCTAAACTAAATGACAAAGAGAATAATATAATTTTATTTAACAGATAAAAATAAAAATGTTCTGAGAAGAATGGTTAGAGGTAAGAAAAGGATGATTTTTTTAAAGAGATATTAAGTATGGACATTGGGGAGCAAGGAGGAGGTTCATCTGGGGAGGAGTTTTCACCAAAAGAGAAGTGATAATTAAAAACTCTTGACAATGCAAATCTCTGAGAGCAAGAATAATAGTGATAAAAAGACAATGATTTAATGTCCAGACATAACTCCTTTTAGTTAAGTACTTTTTAATATGTCTAGTCCTGTATGTCACTGCAAATAATTTTGGTATCTTTAGCAGACTTTTACTATGATTATATAAACACAAACATGTAAACATGAGTATTTAAAAAATTTTTAACTATGCTATACATATTGTTTAATAACATGTTTTTCCTTTTCGCTCAAAAATAATATGGACATCTTCCCAAGACAGTATGTTTGAAAAAAACTTTCTCACTCATAGATTTAAAAAATAGCCTTATTTACATATTTTACACTTTATATCTTAATATATTGGGTACTTATATTTGTATAGTATGAGATGGGGCTCTTCTTTCAAATGGACATACAGGTCATTTTATCGAAATTTTTAGTTTTTATGCATTAGAAAAATAATATATGTTCACTATGGAAAAACACAAGTAAAGAAATAACAGAAAATTCATCTATATTTCCATTATTTAATAACTAAAACGAATAATGTATTTAATAATTCATTCCCTTATTTGTAGATATTTAGATTATTTCCTATTTTTTACTACTGTCAGCAATGCGGGATTTGATGGTCTTATACCTAAACTCTCATTATTTCCTTAAGCTTAAGTCTAGAATACATTTAACTGGGTTAAATTATTTGAACTCTTAATTGCTTTTCAAAAATGGCAGAACAATTGACACTTTCTTAATGTGATTATTCATTTCATATTCTCATAAAAATTGAATACAATTTAAAATATTTTTTGGAAATCTGAGAGGAAGAAATCAAATTAATTCTTTTAATTTGCACTATTTGATTACTAGTGATATTGAACATGCTTTTATATGTTAATCAACCATTTGTACTTCTGTGATTTCTGTTCATGTGCCTTGCTCATTTTTAAGTTAGGAATTAAGTGTTTTCACATTGATGGGTAAGAACACATAAGTGTAAAATATACTTTAATTTGTAAGTTTTCACTAGGTAAATATTTATATATTTTGATCAAAACAAAACTGGTTCATTAGATACAGCTTTTAGAGGTCTTTTGGCAGTATATCTCAAAGTTCAAATCACACATGCCTTTGGACCAGAAATACCACTCATGGACTTCATCCCTACCAATTGTGAATGGTGTTCAAATATTTATCCACAAGATCTTGATTGCAGCACTGTGTGCTATAGTAAAACATACTTAGGATAAATGACAAGAGGATTAGCTAAACTCATACAATGGTATGTTACAGAGTCCCTATAGGTAATACTATATAAGTATATGGAAGAAAATCTTTATACTGCAAGAGAATATAGCAGGTTTCACAGCCTAAACAGCCACAATAAAGTATAAACATGGTCCTAGAAGGTTAGAAAATGGACATTTTTGTGCAAATAAGAATATATGCATTTCAATTTTATTTATATTTCTCATTTTCTGGTAATAACCATGCACTGCTTTTGAAACTTAAAAAGAAAAATTGTTTTACCTTGTTCTTTAGAAGCATGTCTTTTTTCAAAAAATGAGATAAATGTAGCTTGAATTTCTCATTATCTTGATTATCAAGTGACTTTAAATTGCAATCAGATTCCTAGGTTCCCCAGGATCAAAAAGTAACATAAAATTAGATTTTTACTACAGAATTTGTATGACTAGTCAATATTCAACAAAATGTAAAACAAGTAAAATGAGAACATCAGTATAAACAAAAAAATTTCTCAGAAAATATAAAAAGCATGGAGTAGTATAAAAGAAAATGAATCTAATGCAGAAAGAATGATGTTCACCAGTTTCACTTTAAGTATCACTGAAAAAACTAAGCATCACATTAAGAAGGCCGTTTTCTTACAAGGTTTCAAATATTATCTGTATTCAAGAGTATGTAAAGTATTTAAATATTAAATTTATAATAATTTCTCATTTCATAGTTTATCATTCTGCTTAGATCCTAACGGTTCCACAACTTGAGACATGTATCAATGAATACTTAATGATTCCGGAAATGCTGTTAGATTAAATGTACAAGAATTTAAAACAGAAAAGATGCAGAGAAGTCCTTAAAGGAATAAAATCTGAACTTTCTACACAGTAAGATCTAGAATGAAAAATTAAGACAACAGTTATTTCCACAATGTAGGCAAAATTTACCAAACTATCTGATTAAGAACCTGTTTTCTCTTACATAAGAATTTGAAAACAGAGGCTTCATAACATGACTTACCTCTGAATCTGAATCCTTGCTAGAAAGCTGAGAAAGTTTTGATCCATTTAAATTGTGTGGCGATAATTCTAGGCTTTCCTGAGACTGTGAAGACCAGCCCCCTTCATGTGGAGGATGGGATTCATCACCTGACTCATTGCTCTTTAACTGAGTCACAGCAGACAGCTCGTTCATTTCCAGTGGAGAGCAGGGAGAGCCACTCTTTCTACGGAACTGCTGCAGTGCTGTGCTTGGAGATGGGCTCGGCGTTCTGGCAAAATCTTCAAGACTTCCAGACCAACTGAAACAGCTTTTTGGTGTTCCCAAAGTGGGTGGTGAAACAGTCCTCATGAATTTGCTGTTCTCGAAAGATGGAGATGCTTCATCAGCAGTCACAGTTACATCATCTGGAATCTGGTCACTTGAATTATGTACATTCGCAGCAACCAGCTTCTTGCCATCTAGACAATCAGATTCATTTAGATTGGCTTCTGTATTGGTGATAGCAGCTTTAACTAGAGGCTGACTGCTTGCTTTCTCTGAAACACAGTCAGCAGAATCCAGAGAACTGCAAAAAAACCTAACAGAAAAAATGACAGAATGCTTAAGTATTTTAGAGTTTTCTCAGGAAGGTGACAAGATTCAATGGGAAAATGGACCAGTTTCTTTAAAGAAAAGTCTCATATATACATAATTTCATAAAGGCAAAATAGATTTTGAAGGTTTACATTTTGATTTTGCCAACATTTGCACACTGAGAAATTTATTTATACAATGAATTTTTAGGACTTTCTAAAAGCAGTCATCTCCATATACATGTATTTGGAGCTTGAGTATTTTATCTATACTTTATCAACATAATCTTCTTTCCCCAACCTTTTTCTCCAATACTACAAGTTCCTGGGGGACAGGCCCTGTCTGTGCCTTTCTATCCTCCTCAGTACCTAAAACAGTGGCTCACAGGTGGCAGAAAGTCAAATATCTGAACAGAAATGAAATACGTAACAGGAAAGTCAGTTCATATTTTCTTGAAAGCAAAATGAAAGAAATAAGCTGTTTATCCTTCATTTTAGCTTAATTCTAGTAGCACAACACTGGGGAACTTGTAGTGTACAAATCTACCAGCTTTTTACACACCCTATAAACTTGTACACTATTTTGAATACTGAGGCTAAGACTTTTAAATCAATCTCCAAATTCTATATTACTAAAGTGGCATTACTTATTCAGCACAGTCACTTAAAAAAAATGGAAAAAATAATGCCAACCCCGACTATCTCATAATATTGTTGTGAGGAATAAAAGAACATATAAAAGAACCTTGAAGATTAGCCAAGAAAACTAATTTAATAATATCTAGTTAGTTTAGATGTTACATAATCCAGATCAGAAAATTATACATCAGACTTACTATTTCACCATAAGCTGGAGAAAAAAATTTCTCCAAGCACCTCTGAATAATTTATTAGTGAAACATCTAACATAAGTACATAAAACAGCTAGGTACAGCCTCAACAGCATTAAGCTTCTACAATAACTAAACAGGCAAAACCTAGAGACACACAATGCTGTTCTTATTAGCTGTCTCCAAAGAGTTCAGCATTTAAGGCAGAAAAGAGAAATTCTATTTTCACCCACACAGGAAAATGAAACACAAGTTCCAAAAATTCTCCAAATAAAAGAAGTCAACTTTCTACAACTTACTAATCAGCATGTATCATCCAGAGCCCTCTTTTCCATTACCCCACAGTTAACAAGCAACTTTCATTAGGTGAGTGGCTTGGAGGAATAAAAATATCCTTTGTCTTGTGAATACTTCCTTGAGAAGACTCGATGGGAGAAGGGCCTGAAACACGACCTGAATTGAGGCTGAGGGGTTATCAGAGGCTCACCCCCCTAACATCTGCCTCCCACTGCCGGAGACAAAACTGGCCACAGCCTGGTTTATTAAACTTGAAAAACAAAAAATATTCTAAGTTTTCTAGAGAAACACTGGACTGATCAATTAATTCTCTTACTTGAGTTACTATATTATGCCTAAATAACTTCTGACACTTCATTGTCACAGGGACTATGGTTAACAGCCAACTGATCTTTCTGCTCCACTTTCCGCCCTTGAGTCTGTTACTCAGAGTGCTCAGAGTGGTCTATCTAAGTCAGGAATCAAACTGCACCCCTTCCCTGATTAAAATCCTCTAAATGTTTCCCATCACCTCTAAAGACTAAAAGCTCCTTAGCTTGGCTTATAAGCCTTCCACCTTCCACAATGTCTACTGTTGGATTATTCCTGTTCATTGTTTACTCAAGACAATTAAAGATCAGTAGAGTATACAATACAATAGAAACACAGCATTCTGTAGCTAAAACTATACCTGCTTCTGGTCCCTGGAACAACAACCGCACCAGTATCTTTTTTTCTCTGTAAAAATGTTGCAAATTTATTTCTTGTCGTAGGTGGTGTACTTAAGTGTTTAATAGTAGTTCCATCTACCAGGTCAGGCATGAATACTGCAGCAGAGTTCAATGATTTATTACCTTCACAGCTATTTTTCTTGGTCTTCTTTGTAAATGAAAGGGCATATTGACTCAATATATCATCTTCTGACAGCTCTTCTAAATAAAAACAAAGTTATCTGTAAGTCTGTTTTGTGTGTAGTTAAGAGACTGGGCCTTATCTTCCCAAAGCATGTCTCATTGTCCCAAGGAAGAAGTCTTATGTCTTTATAAACTATGCCTTACAAAAGGAAATTCAAGGATGACTCAAGAAAATAAATTCCCTTAACCTTGTTTTAATTTCACAAATAACCCAAAATTTAATGTCAATTACTTGTATATGAAGTTACCCAAGCCAAAACTTCAGTATATATCAATTCTGTAAGGCTACCTATTATACTAAGGGCCTAATTTTAAATGTTAAAAAGTTTTTAAGATAATTTATATGTAAATATATGATTAATGTGTGATTTTAAAAACATTCCAATAAAACTTGTAGCTATTTATACACATCAGCTTTATGTTAGTTTTTGAGGTGTGTGTACACACACACACACACACACACACATACACACACACACACACATATGGCTGTCATGTAGTCAAAAGTAATTTGTGCTCTAGTTGTGATCCTTATTACTTAGCTATGGGGCTAGATAGAGGACTGCTGTGTGGCAGATGCATTCTATGCAATCAGAATAAATCATTAAGATGAAATAATACAAAGTATTAAAGGTAAGGACACAGAAAGAGCTCTAAGGTGCTTTAAATTAGTCTAATTAAGTATCAGTCTGAATGGCCTTCACTCACATAAGAGTAAATGCTTACTAGGTACAATTATAGGGGTACCAAAATACTGGAGACAAGAAGATGACATCTCAGATTTTAAAATGCATGATTAAAAAAAAAGTTTAGATCAGTAAACTTTGTTTTGATCCTGGCAAAAGCCTAAATCTGCTTTACTATGTAGGTAATTGTGAGCCCTCAAAGAAGAGGAAAACACAAATATAACCTGCCTTAATGGTAGCAGAAGGGAAGGAAGAAACTAACATAATATACTATACCTGCTGTTTGCTAGGGGCTTGTATATCTTACCTTAAATAAAATATATACAGATTTGTGAAATAGGCAATTTTAGAAGAGGAAACAAAGGTTCAGAGATAGTACTGTGAAAAAAACTTAGGTTCATAAAAAATTAGGACACTTTGGCCCAACATGAATAACCTGTACTTAAATTAAAAAAAGAAAAAAAGCATAAACTTCAAGTTTACAAAGGTTTTTGTCATTAGACTTTTGTTCATTCATTCATGTAGACATCTGAGGGAAAGGAAGGGGAGAAGGAACAGAATACAATTATTCCCTACTTTTAAACATGTTCTACAATGAGAAAAAAAAACCACAACAACCCCTTTTCCAGTACCTAGTGTTCCATTTCAGCACTTCTGTTCAATATTGTACTGGAGGTTTCAGCAGGCAAGAAAAAGAAATAAAAGGCATCCAGACTGGAGAAGGAGAAGCAAGACTGTATTTGCGGGTGATATTATTATCTATACAGAAAATCCTACAGAGTCTACAAAAGAGATACTAAAACTAATGTATGAATTTAATAAAGTTATCAAATATAAGATTAATATACAAAAGTCAACTGCATTTCTATATATTATCAACGAATATTTGAAATTAAGAATATCATTTATAATAGTATCAAAAGTGTGAAATAGAGGGATGAATTTGATAACAGATATACAAGACCTACACACTGAATATTACAAAGTATTACTCAAAACTTAAAGAGGACTTAAACAGATCAGAAAACTCAATATTGTTAAGATACCAGTTCTCCCCAAATTGATCTATAGAGTAAATCCCCAAATTTCAGCAGCCCTTTTTTTTAAGAAACTGACAGATTGATTCTATAATTATTATGGAAATGTAAAGAGTACAGAATAGCCAAAACGACTCTTCAAAAAAAGAATTTATGGGACTCATTCTACTTGATTTCAAGATTTACCATAAAGCTCCAAGGCAGTGTGTCAGGCGTAAGAAAAGGAAGAGACCAAGGGTACATAATAATAGAGTCCAGAAAGAGACTCATATATACAGTCAATTAACTGTCAACCAATGTGCCAAGGCAATCTCATGGGGAAAGGATACTCTTTTTAACACAAAGTGCAGGAACAACTAGTCTAACATATAACAAAAAAAGTCACCTTGACTCATACCATACAAAAAAATTAATTCAAAATGTATCAAAGGCCTAAATATAAGAGCTGAAACTGTAAAACTTCTAGAAGAAAACGGGAGAAAACTTTAATGCCCTTGGGTTTAGCAAAAACTTCTTAAATGTGACCAATACTCACTAGAATTTCACAAAAACAAAATACATACCACTTCTTGGTCTTTTCACAATGGATGACTTCCTTGGAAGATTTAACCTTTTAGTACTAACCACTTGTTCAATGCCCACAGTACTTGGATTTTCCTTCAGTCTTGTGGTATCTGAAACCTTATCCAGCTCAGATTTAGGGGAGCAATTTCTACGCCAAATGCTATTCACAGTAGATGAATTTTGACATGTTTTGTCACCCCAAGTATGACTTCTAGATTGGGCGGGCTAAAATAGTAAAAGGAAAAAGGTTACTTGAAGAAGGAAAACAGTCAAATCATTTCCTTCTGTATCAACATAAATGATAAGGAAATAATTAAATTAACCTTTTGAACAGCTTTTCATGAAATAGCTGTTCTCTAATAATATTTCTACTTTGCTGGTCCTATACTTTTCCATTAAGTATGTCTTGTCTTTCTAGGTCTGTTTCTCTTCTAATAAGGGTCAAGCAACCATGTTAGCTCATTGCTAAGAAATAAAAAATGAACTTAAGATGAACAGTGCAAGAAGCAAAACTGCACTTGAAGAAATGAGGCCAGAAAAAAAGTACTTCTAAAATTTCAGTATTATTCCAACACATGGTGTTAGATTATTAATTTAATAATCATCTGGCAACAAGCATCTAAATAATAATTTATGTACTCTTCACAAAACACCTGAAAGTCAAAACCATAAAATCATATATTTAAAGTAATCAACTATCCCATCTCTAGAAACTGGTTGCGTTCAAAATGAAAGAATCTAGTTTACAAAGCACTAGTTTTCTATTAGACCCACACTTGGTTCATCTTTAGTGGACAATACAGGGACCCAGCTACTTTGGTCTACACTGACTCTTGCATAAAACTTTCTCTGAGAGTTAATTGCTAAGTACTGGTAAGCAATCATTTTTAATGCTAATACAAGTTATTCACAGCTACAATATTGGATGCCAATGATCTGCTAAGAGGATGCCAATGATGTTCTAACAGAGTAGGTAGGAAAGGCAAAGGGAAAAATTAACCAAGGCACAAAAAATGCTGGTGCTTAGGGCATGACTTCCACTTGAAAAAAACCCATCTGAACTTGGAATCTAATCTAAGTCTTTCACTTAAAGAAAGGATAAAATAAGTAAGACAAGGTGACATTATCCAGGATACACTTTGAGAATTAGCAAAGGTGGCAATTCAGAATATTGAGGAATAGGTATAAAAAAACAGCTTAAATAGAATGGTCCATGGCATTAGATCTCACTGATGACCTACAGAAATTTCTCTATGAAAAACAGAAAGATCTGATAATGATCTGGGCCTATGAAGGATGGCCATCTGAGCCACAACATTCCCAGCAATATCTAGACACATTCAACGCAACCAACTATATGTGAGTTTCTGAGACAAAGGAAAAACTTAAGAATCGTTCCTGATGAAGTCATAATATCAATAATTCAAGTGTATAAAGAAGATAGCAGAATAAGCACTTACTTTTCATCCCTTTCTTTCAATAATCATCCCCCAAAACATTAAGAACAAGAAATAAACACAAACTCCATCTGCAATAAAATTAGAAGATACCTGTAACTTCCCAACCATAGTGAAGGCAGTATAGATGGAGGAATTCACACAACTTAGCAGAAGACACATCAAACCCATGTCTGCAGAAGAGAATACCAATGAAAAGTCTACTCTACCTACAAAAAGCTCAGGAATTTAAGGTACCAAGTACCTTTCAGGCCACAGGTAGAGGGAGGGCTGAGAGGAGGGGGCTTAGTGACCTCTGGGCCCTCATCTTCAACCTGACCATGCAGTCAATTCACAGCCACCTGCCTTCAGAACAGGGGCAACTGGACATTCAAAACCTAGAAACAGTAACAAAGAAACAGTATACACTTCAGAAAGTGGGAAGATTTATTTGTATAAAAACAGAGATCAGCTGAAAGGCTAATTACTGAATGGTGAAGGATTGCTCTTGCCCCTTCCTGGCCTACCCCACTCACTCTCCCTATCCTGCTCTGGAATGCAAACACCCACATTTATATTACTAGGTAGAGATTGGAGGATCTCTTCTTGGCAACATGGAGCTGTACAGAAAACATGTTGGGACAATTAAGAGTTTGTAAAACAAAACCAGTTTCTTGCCAGCCAGACTGCCTGTGAGTAAAGCCCAAGAAGGCCACCCAAAGCGTCTCAAGCTTCTCGGTGCCTCTCAACTAGGAACAAATGGACAAGAAGTTCCAGTAATTTGAAGAAAGTCTCTCCTATGAAAGAGAAAAGGCCAAAACAAAGAGAGAAAAAAAACAAAACAACAAATTCAGAAAAGAGAATGCAGTGAGCAGAACACGTCCAAAAAAACACCCCCACAAAATTAACATTCTTAGAGAGACACACACACAAGAGAAAGAGAAAGATTACACTCCTTAAAAAGAATTTACTTTAAGAAAGCACAATTAAAGAAGAGCCCTTAGGCTCTTTACTACATGAAAATGATAGTAGCAATAAAAAATCCACAGAATTTTCTGTGATAGACATGTTCTATGCTGTCCAATATGGTGGCTACTGGCCACTAAGCTCTTGGAGGGTGGCCAGTGCAACTGAAGAACGAAAAAATTTACATTTATTGTTGATTAAATAGCCACATGTGGCTAGTGGCTATTGTACTAGATAGCGCAAGTTGTTAGATTAAAAAAAGAATTGGCACAGAAAACAAAATATATGAACAAGAGAAAAGTTCCAAAATTTGAAGATTAGGAAACCCAACGTCTAATTAATAGAAGTTTCAGAGAACAAAGAAAACAGAGAAACAACTAGCAGCCTGACTATAAGGTTCACATGACTTGAGTTCAGGAACATGACATGCTTTCTTTGCATCATTACATAGTTGTGCTTTGGGCACATGTGCTGCATTTCAGCTGACTCTAACGATGTCTTGTCAAGGCTCAGTTGGTCACTGGCTTGTCAGTGGCCACGTTCTCCAGACTCATCCATTTTCCTTTCTCAAGGTACTCTGCTTCCTTTATATGGTAAACACTAATACATTCTTGACTAGAGTTCCCTTAACAAGTCACCCTCTTCCACACATACTGTTTGCTTCAGCCTGAAATTGCTCACCCATCCTGATAATCCCCCCTGGTCTCTGCATACCCACACGTACATCAGTCTCTGAGGTAGCAGAGAGCTTGGCCTGGAATCATAGTTCCCCTATTTATCAAAGGTGTGACCTGGGGAAGTTACCTATCTTCCTTCTCATTGCTTCATCTGTCAAATGGGAATAATGGTACGAACCTCAGGGCTTGTTGAAGAGTAAATGACTAGAGTGTGTTATGTGCTTATTATAATAGTGCTTAGAACATAGTAAATGCCCAATAAATGTTTGTTATTATTACTATGAACATGATCTCCTTAGTGGAGTTAGATGAATATCCTTTTTTTCCCATGGAGTCTGAACAAACCTCCATTATAGCACTTACCACATTTTATACATACAATCACATCTCCCTCCCCTATACAATAAGTACCTTCCAAGCAAGGATTTGTTACTTTCACATTTGAGAACACTCGCAAACCTATGTTTGTTGTAGTGCTTAATTAATAAATATTTAATGAAGGACTGATTTAGTGAGCAAGAGTAGAATGACCTAGATTAGACTGGAAGCTGTGAGAAAGAAGAAACCATCAACCATAAAGACAACTAGAACAAAGAAGACTCACAGTGAAAGAGAGCCAAGGCCTATTTTCAAGTTTTCTAGACTGAAAGAATGAAAGAAAACATCTAACTGACACTCACCAGGTAAAGGTGCCAATATAATAGCAGTGAAAATCATAAAATCCTGCCTTTATAAAGATTACATTTTGTTGGAAAGAATCCGAAAATAAACAAGAGACATGATTTACGTAGTATTAAGTGCTAAAAAGAAAAAGAGATGTTATTAGGAAAATCTGAAGGGAATGAAGAGTCTGCTTCTGATTTAAGGTTACAGGAAATCATTTATGGAGAGGTCAAAGAGCCATGTAGAACTACATGGTTGATGCACAGACTAGAGAACAGGTTCGATGTACAAATTCTCTGCATCAACGAGATAATTAAAGACAAAAGAACTCACTGAAGGAATAAATAAAAACAGAAAAGAGAACAGAGCCTGAATGAAAACATGAACAGACAGGAGAGAATGGCGGGGGAGGGTGGCATAAGGGATATAGGGAAAAAGAAGTGGGGAAGGGCTCACACATGGCAGAGATGCTCCATAAATATTCGCTGAATTGTGAATGAGTGAAAAAGCAGCTTTTATTCCCAAGGACAGTTAGTTCCTAGGTCAGGGTCTTCAACAGTGCCAGATGCCAGGGGCTGAATGAAGCGAGAGAAAAAAGGCACTGGTATATATTCAAATGAGATGTTCAAAACTGAAGTTTTGGCAATACATGTGGTCACTTTTTAATTTAAGGAAATTAACATGCCTACCTATGTCCTAAAAGATTTAATTTCTCTAGCATCAGGTTGTTTTCAGTCTACTCTCTGCACAGTGCCTGGATATAGAAATGCTTTAAAGATGTTTATTAAATGAAGATTTGCCTTTGATCACAGTTCCTGCGACATAATTAAAATGTGCTCTTTTAGAAAGAAACCATTAAAATGTTACCGCAGCTGTGTCTGGGTTGTAGTCATCGATCTGTTCAAAAGTATTTATGTCTTTATTTCCAAGTGCTATTTGCAGAGCTACAGAATTATCAACATACCTAGGTTGGTAATATTAAGGAAAAATGCTTTTATTAACAACCAAACAAATGTACTGTATTAAGATAGAAAAGCATTTTCTATTGTTACAGAAAACCTTCAGGTTTATGACATCAATGGCTCCTACTTCCATTCTATATTCAGCATTACTGAACCCCACAGGCATTGTTTACTTGTCTCTATTTGTCCCTGCAGAATTGGCTGTTTGCCAAAGCAAAGCGCCATCACCACCTCCGTGAGTTGGGGCCTGCAGCACACCGAGTGCATGTGGCTGTAGCTGTGGAGAGGGCATCTTCAGCAGGCGTACCCATGTGCCCTGAATGCTCCTCCCCACAAATTGAGCTTGCTCGCCTCGAAGGGTTCTCAAGGGCCACCTTTGGAATATGTATCTTGAGTGACTGATTCAGTACGTGTTTCAGTCAAGTCAATTTAAGTATTAAGCACAGTATAGCCAAGGAGCCTCAAGTTTATGAACAAAAAGTTGTTGCAAATTTCCACTGGCATGGTAATTAAAATAAATAAAACACAGATTTCACTATAAAAAAGAAAGCAAAAAATAATTTGCAAGCTTTTTGCTGAATGTCTTGGTAAAAATATCACCATAAAAGTATGGGAGAAGTAAGAAATGCCAAATTCTACCATTCTGGATCAGAAAGGATACCGCCCAGCATAGCTTAATGTTTCAGGATCAATGTCATCTTCATAAGCATTTAGAGGGATGAGTTTTCTTTCGATGGGATCAAAAACTAGCTGATAAAGGAAGGTATTATTGGCTCGAATAAATCCTTTGATGTAATCTTCTGGTACTGTTATATTCATTTTGAGATAATGTCCAATTTTCTTGATAACCTAATAATGGATATAAAATATTTACAAGTTATCTGCAAAAAGACCAACTAGTTAGCATTAGAGGAGCATTAGGAGGGACAGAAAAATCAACTGCTTTTATCTATATGAAATACCTCTACCAGCAAACACAACCATATCATATCACTTGAAATTCTAAGTCTCTGTAACAATATTTTCTTTGGTTTTTCTATTATTAATCCAAAGAATGAAAAACTCAGTTACACATTGTGTTTAAACTCCTAGGTGTTAAGTTTAGATATGCTCTTCACCTTCAAAAGTCCCTTTATCCAAAAACAAACAAAACCTGAGAATTAAAAAAATAGAAACATTCTTAGACCATATTTTTAGAACCAAGTTGACACGCTAACTTCTGTTAGAGTCATGGATGACTACAGCTGGAAAGGGAACGGTCTTAAATACTTATAGCAAACTCAAAGTCTCTGAAGGGAAGGCCCAGGGTACTGAAGTGATCCTAGAGTAATAGGCTGGTTGGGGCATGTTGCTCTCTTCCCACTGTTATTATCTCCCAATATAGGGATTTTCCCATTATACTACATCACCCTTAGCCTTTATACTCTCACACCTCGTACTCTCGGAAACAGAAATTAGGAATTCTGTTCTGCAAACTCTAAGGGCTTTAAAGAACTACTCAAAGTGGGGGAAATGAGCTCCCCTGATTTGTGCTTATTTCTTAAGGTAAAGACATCAAAGCAGTAATGTACAGTGTCTCAGAGTTTGTTCTAATGGACACGTGATATTCAAAAGACTGTAAAAGAGACTATGATAATCCAGCTGTCTTCTATTAAACTACATTAAAGAGATTTACATAAAGGTACAATTCCTCTCTTGATTTTCATTTCTTTTAGAAGAGATGGCTGTTTTTCATAAAAATATGCTATTTATGTTAACATGTTATCAATTTGAAGTGAACTAATAAACACTTAAATTTTTGGTTTTAATTTCTAATTCAGTAAATATCAGCAGCTATAACAAATATAAAAAATAATTATTGCTACAAAGAACTTTTGAATATAAAGGGCTCATCAATCTAAAAAGTTTGAGAACTACTACAGGGCAGTATGACAGAAAAAAAGGTTGTACACTTTAACATTAATTCCACCTGACAATATTTTGCCCTAAGTCCCTTTATATTAATCTTCATTTTAAAAATTACTATTTTTATCAATTGCTGAAACAATGGTTCATCAGTTGTCCAAAGCGATGTTCTTATCAATTATCTTAGTGAATTTCTCTTCTGAAAGATACAATAAAGGCTACTGACATAATAGAATATTTAAAATCCATATTCTGAGTGTGTATCTATTAAGAAATGTTTCAGAAAGTGAATATGACCCTTGGTAAATCACTCTTACTTTTACAATATCTGGATTGTTGGCTAGTCTTAGTACTTTGCAGGCCTTTGCTAATCCAATCCCACGCAGTGATGAGAGATAGTCGCAGCCTGAAAGAATGCACATATAACGGAATTTCTCTTCTGTGAACACATCCCCAAGCTGTCTGCACATTCCTAGACGAACCTGATCAATTTCTAGTCCATTTCCAAAGTGGTCCATTTTTAAAATCACCTTCAAAAGGAAGGGAAAATGTTAGCACATATTAGGGACATTTTTATGTTTCATTATCTAATCCACTGCAACATGTCTAAGAAATCTTGCTTTTCATCATAACACTGAAGAGAGGAGAGATAGGTGGGCTAGTTAATTATTGTGATGTCTGCAAATAAATGATACTGAAGCATGGGCTATGCCAAGGTCATAACAAGAACTGGACAGCCATGGCTCAGAATGCCCTTTTCGCATCTCTTTATTTCCTACTTACATTATAAGGTCATGGTGATCAAAGAGCAATTCATACAAATAACATTTTCTCCTTACCTTCCACTTTTACATTTTAAAATAACCTTTTTTATTAAAGTAATACATATTCATTGCAGAAAATTTAAACATAGAAAATACAGAAATTCAGGAAGATGAAAATGGAAGTTGCTCCAAATCTCTCATCTATCACAGGTACCCAGAACTAACCTTTCGGCATAGATTCTTCAAATCACTGATGAGGAATACAGAGAAGATAAATAATAGAAGTATTAACAAAAATGAGATCATCCTATAGTTTTGTATCTTAATTTCTCCCCTTACTCTATCATGATAAAATTTTCCATTGAACAGTTTTATACACAGTTCTAAATAACTAAAGAGCATGTCATTAGTAGATAAGTTAGTTTCTTTACCTAACCCAATCGAAAAATATAAAGTACGTAAGTTATGATTATTAAACAAAATAAGAGTAATAAGTCTACATGCTATTAAAGAATTTGGACAAAACAAAACGCTTTAACTTCATGGCTTTACTCTAACAGCTGGAAAAGCTCCCAGATTACACAAATGTCAAGCAGCAAAACCCCTCTCTTCATGTTAAATAAAATAAGTATTGACTTTGTAAGTACATAATCATTGCAGGTAGTATATAAAATAAATAATTATTCCTGAAGAAGAAAAACTTTAGCTCCTCAATTTATACTTGCTATGCTTATGATTTCCACCTACGTGGAAAAGTAGTATGCAGTAGTTGTGTTTAAGTACCTTTTTACAGCCAAAAGCAAGGAGGTCAGAATCCTCTGTGATTATGGCTTGTACAATACCAGCTTTGTTAAGATAGGCCAGCTGTGCATCGGCTTCATATGGGGCCACGAGACAATCCACTCCCTGGGACCGAGCAGCCTGTGAAAAAGGATCACAGTCCACCTCCAGAGCAGCATCTGGGAAGCACTGAATGACTCCCCGTTTCAAGTCCATTTCATTACCAGCCTCAACATACCCATACTAATAATATTTTCAGAAACCATTTCCTCTTAAGTTTTTCTACTTTTAATCCTAGTGTATATTGAACTAATCATATAGCTACTAAGAAATCTTTTTTGAAAATCAATTTATAAATTTGGAGAAAAAAATACTGCTATACATTTGGGGCTGGGTATGGGTGGGAGGTGACTACAAGCTACAAAACTTCATTATTTCAAATTACAGAACCCTTCGATTTTAAAAATGGTCATGCTCCAAAGTATACAAGACATTTATCTGCAGTCTAGAATACATTTTCCCCATAACAGTCAGATTTTGCTTGACTACTTAAGTCTGTATGACAGTATATTAATAAAACTATTGAATCTAATCGCTAAATTTATTTTCCCCATTTGTTTATTAAGTAGTTTGATCACAGCCCCAAGAAAGGGGAAGTGAAGGCTGGGATTGTGGGCATGTTGATAGTAAGATATAGGGTGAGAAGGAAAGCAGATTCTAAGCAGAAACAGGTTAAGGAGACTGGAAGTCTGAGAACTTCTGGGGCTGGATCAACAGGTATCTGATGGGCACTCCAAGCACTGACGACTATATGAATGTGGGGCGACACTGAACCTCCAGGAAATAGTTCCTTCTCTCTTTCTGGAACAACATGTGGATGGAGCTCATCCAAGTGACTTCCGTTAAAAGGGAGAGCGTCACTTCTTAGTATTTCCCTCTTAGAAACTGTGGGAACCTTCTACTCTGTTTAAAGACACTGCTTCCTTCTTCTGACATCTGCCCCTTCCTTAAGGTTAGGCTTAGAATAATTTCCCTTGTTACCCTGGCTTTATTTCTCACTTAGCTTACTTTGATCACTCTGTGGGCCATAGCATGTGTGACATTGACAGAACGGGTAAAACATTCTCTGGCCTCTGAGACCTTCCCCTCACGCAGAAGCTGCTTTCCCTTAAGAAGATTGGCTTGTCGTCTTCTGCAAGGGGAAAAAAAATTAAAAGGTTGACACAAAAAGTACAATAAAACTGTAATTCAAGAAATTGTCCTAGAATAAAAAGAGTTGACTCATTTGAAAGTGCAAACCAGATCCCTGAGAATATTAACTCTGATCTTTTGGGCTTCTAGGCTAAAAGAACAAGTGATTTATAATGCACATACTTTCAAGCTATTGCCAGACTTTTCCACAGCAATACTTAAGTCATGAGAAAATGGAGTAACTGAGACACTTAAGAAAATGTGACTCAAGGCTTTTATACCATCCAAACTAATTTTCAAGTTTTAAAATGTGCAACTTTATCAACATACAGGACACTTAAGAAATACTGTTTTTGTGAGCTTTTCTATAGAAGCTACTAGAAAACAAACTTCAGAAAAAACACAAGAGACATCAGTGTAAGGACAGGTAATAACCACCAAATATATAATAATTTATAGAATCAACACTAAATAGGGTCAGATAGGGAGAGATCACTAGTTATGTGCTCTGATGATGCAGAACCACTATTTTTAAAATGGGGAAAGAGCGTTATGTGAAAAAAGAAAAAGAAAGAAAATTTAACTGTTTTTAATAATCATATTAATATTTCACTCTGAATCTATTGTGAGTGTAAGGTGGAATAAAATAAGGGAGTAATTAAGATGTTCTAACTTATCGTCTTGTCCCCTGTCCCCTTGAAAACAAGGATGCTCAGTATGGAACAGAGGAGATACACATGCAGTGCAGAAGTCAAGTGCTAAGAACCCTGGAGTCCTGAATTTAAATTAGGATGTCAGTCTGGATTCCTGAGGTTTTATTTTTAAGTAAGTGTGCATGTACACACACACACACACACATTTCCCAGCTCCACTTTTAGGCTGGGCTCCACAGATAAAGAGACTTTGTAGAAGGATTTGAAGTCCCCCTTCCACTGCTACAGTTGCACAGAACAGCTGATCCTACAGAGATAAGACAGAAAGAGCCCCTAGATCACAGATAGATAAAACATTTTTCCTATTCTGGAGATTAGCAAAAAAAAACTAAATAACTATCTTTAATTAGAATGAAGGACAGGGTAGGGGCTGCCTGCTGGGATATGGTTTGGACTAGTCCTTTAGTCACACTGGTTTAGAGTTGTCACCATTATGTCAGTTGTTAGAACTAACCTGGAACTAATGAACTTTTTCTTAAAAGTCTGTTTCACAAACTGTGTATTATTTGTATTAGAATGTGGGCTCAAATGGTCTCAGTAAATCCTTTAATAAACTTTATGAACTTCTTTATAAGCATCAGAGCCCTGTAAATACAGCTAGATTAAAAAACCTAGACCTGATGAACCCTGTGTGATTCTAAGCCCCAAGAGGCCCAAACCAGGCCCCCCTCACAAAAGGTTCCCTTGGGTCTTCCCTATCAACAGAATGACTCCAGGACACAAAAAAACTAATAAAGGGGAAAAACAAGAACAGAGGGATGTAGTTGCTTCACTAAAATACATAAATTCTTTCTCCGATCTATTATAAAATTACTAGATTCTGTTAAATATGCTTGGTAAAATTTCTAATATAATTACTGAAAGAATAGAAATACAGCACATCACTTTTTAACTAGAAAACAAGGCACAATAGAAGAAGAGTGGAGGAAGACAATTCAGAGGTCAAGCAAGGTAGTCATTACCAAAAAAAAATTCAAGCAGGACAAATGTAAAATCTCAGGTAAAAGAAATAATGAATCAAAATCTATTAGTAACTAGATCTCAGAATCATCAAGAATTACAAAAATCTAGAGATAAAGTTCTCCCACCATAATGGAATATTCAAAGAAAGGTTACTAGCAATGAAAAACTAGTAGTCTTCAATACAAAAGGACTAAAACTCCTCATTTAAAAGATTTTTTTAAATGGCAAAGATCGACAGAATGGATTTAAAAAAAGAGTGATGTGTTCTTTATAGGAGGCAAACCTAAAAACCAATGACATAGTAAGGTACTAAGGTAAACAGATATTAGCATCAGATGGACCAGACTTTAGAACAGAAAAGGACAACTAGAGCCTAAATGACTCACTACATGTTGTTTCAATTTACCACAAAAATATAACAAATTCTAAACTTGGAATACAACTAATACGAAGGCCTCAAAACAAAGCAAAAAAAAAAAAAGTACAGAACTACAGGGTGACTGACAAATCCACTATCACAGTGAAGTTTTATTATGTTTTCTCAGTAATTAATGGATTAAGTAGACACACAAAAGCAAAAGCCAGTAAGGGTATGGAAAGCTTGAATAATATAATCAATAAGCTTGATTTATTGAACAGGCATAAAATCTTCCACTAAATAACTGGAGAATACACATTCTTTTCTACTACACATGAACTATTTCAGGAAATTTGTTCATGTACTGGGTTATAAATAAGCCTCAACAAGTTAAAATAAAAAACACTGGTATCACACAGACCACACATCAGACCTTAATGCAACTAATTAAGTTAGAGATTTGAGAATCAACTTACTCTCTCCGAGACGTCTCCACTTCCTTTTTAGAAGGTAAAGTACATCCATCAAACACAAGAACAGGCTTGATCCCATTAGACAGTAACATATTTACAAATTTCATACAAAATCCTACATACCTATGAAAATAATGAAAAATGTACTTCAGTGCTTTCATCTTGTAAAGTAACACTTTTGTTCCTTTTAAAATCAGATGAGACATATTATGGGAAAAAGATGTTTATATTTTGCTTTTTTAAGCAAATGTTTTCATTGGAAATGGAAACTCTAAGTAAGACTTGGGTTCAAATCCCATGGGCTATGTGATATTTGCTCTGACTCTCCAAGCCTTGCTTTCGTCATCCATAGATTAAAAGGCTTTGCTACCCCTTCATTTCTGACATTTTGTGGTTCTAAATCTTGCCTTTCTCTTCCACTGCCTTTTTTTCTGTCTTGAAAAATGTCAAATCTATTGAAGTTGAAATAATAGTACAATAAATACCTGAATCCTCCAACAATACCGTTATCATACCCAGGAAATTTAATAGTAACAAAATATCATCTAAAATACAATCTATGTTAAAATGCATCTAATTGTCCCAATAATGTTTCTTATAACCACCTGTGGCCTGATAAATGTTTAACAACCAGTTCTGCAGGAAGGGGTGCCTGATTAGTAGCATTTTCCAATTTTCCAGATTTGAATGGTTTTCTACAATGGCTGGTAAACTACCCATGAATGCTGAGTTTGGAGGAGATGGTGTATAGCAAGCTTGTAATGAATGAGCTGGTGCCAGCACAGCATTGCTACAGTATTTTTCTCCATTCCAGGACCAACCAAGGATCACACATTGCATTTAGTTTTTTATCCTGTCAAGGCAATTAACAAAAATAGCTATACTTAAAACTTTCATCATTTCATAAAGAAAAGAATATCTTAACTCAAAAAATAGGAATAGAAAGACATAATCTTAAAAGATAATCTTTTAGATAAAATATATTCAGCTTAATAAAAGACTCACTATGTTGTCCTTATTTTTCTTTTAGTTGTAAACTAGCGACAACAGGCCTGCACCGATTTACAGAACGATGATTGGGATCTATGGATTAAATATCCAATATAAATAGGAGAAAGCAAGCATAGATTTATAATCAATTTCAAAGGAAATTTATTTACTTTTTTTTAACTAGACAAAACACAAGTATTAGACACCTGGTGCTGTCATTTTACATGTATTTCACAATCACCTTTCCAGGGTCAGCATATATAACATATATATCTACTTCATTCTTTATAATGGTCATAAAAGTTTATCATAAGTTCATCTACATTTTCTGACCATTTCTGGGTAATACCCTGATTCCAAAGGTGGACAAGAAAAGGAAAATAAACACTATTAGATGCTACTTATTAGTTGCTATGAGGAAAAAAAATTAAATACACTTCATTTGTTTAAAGTCCTGAAATATTTAAGTCCAATAAACATTTACTAAGCACCTACTACATGCAGGTGCAGTTCATCACTGACATCTCTAACAATGAAGAATATTCCCTGGATTTTGGACAACTTTTTAATGAGTCAAAAAATCTAAGAATCATCAAGAATTACAAAAATCTAGAGAGAAAGTTCTCCCACCATAATGGAATATTCAAAGAAAGGCTACTAGCAGTGAAAAACTAGTAGTCTTCAACTACAGTTGCAACTGTCCAAATTTAGTTGTGGAAAGAAATTGCTTACAAAAATTATCCTATCAGGGGGAATGGCAGAGTGCTGAGGCTCCTTCGATTATTACAGGTCACCTTGGGTCAAATTAACTTGATAGGCCTGAAAAACATCCACCATTCAATAATGACGTTCCAGGACCAACCAAGGATCACACATTGCATTTAGTTTTTTATCCTGTCAAGGCAATTAACAAAAATAGCTATACTTAAAACTTTCATCATTTCATAAAGAAAAGAATATCTTAACTCAAAAAATAGGAATAGAAAGACATAATCTTAAAAGATAATCTTTTAGATAAAATATATTCAGCTTAATAAAAGACTCACTATGTTGTCCTTATTTTTCTTTTAGTTGTAAACTAGCGACAACAGGCCTGCACCGATTTACAGAACGATGATTGGGATCTATGGATTAAATATCCAATATAAATAGGAGAAAGCAAGCATAGATTTATAATCAATTTCAAAGGAAATTTATTTACTTTTTTTTAACTAGACAAAACACAAGTATTAGACACCTGGTGCTGTCATTTTACATGTATTTCACAATCACCTTTCCAGGGTCAGCATATATAACATATATATCTACTTCATTCTTTATAATGGTCATAAAAGTTTATCATAAGTTCATCTACATTTTCTGACCATTTCTGGGTAATACCCTGATTCCAAAGGTGGACAAGAAAAGGAAAATAAACACTATTAGATGCTACTTATTAGTTGCTATGAGGAAAAAAAATTAAATACACTTCATTTGTTTAAAGTCCTGAAATATTTAAGTCCAATAAACATTTACTAAGCACCTACTACATGCAGGTGCAGTTCATCACTGACATCTCTAACAATGAAGAATATTCCCTGGATTTTGGACAACTTTTTAATGAGTCAAAAAATCTAAGAATCATCAAGAATTACAAAAATCTAGAGAGAAAGTTCTCCCACCATAATGGAATATTCAAAGAAAGGCTACTAGCAGTGAAAAACTAGTAGTCTTCAACTACAGTTGCAACTGTCCAAATTTAGTTGTGGAAAGAAATTGCTTACAAAAATTATCCTATCAGGGGGAATGGCAGAGTGCTGAGGCTCCTTCGATTATTACAGGTCACCTTGGGTCAAATTAACTTGATAGGCCTGAAAAACATCCACCATTCAATAATGACGTTTCCCTCCTCTAGGAAACAAACAGGATTAACACATTTTACCTATTGTCTATTGTTCCTAAATTAATAACATAAGATCTGTGACTTTTCCTCTAGGAGACAAATTATTTATTACAAAAGAAAGTATGTAATAGTGATCAAATTCCTGACAACTCTGTCCTGAAATTATACTTATTTTTCTAATGTTTCTATTTTAGAAACAGGGAGGACAGTCCATTGAACTAGCCTTAAATGACTGGATATCCAACATGACCAACATTTTTGGTCCCAACTGAAGTAAAAGGGAGTCAGAACCCTTGTCCCTCTGAAGTAAGTGCTTTGTTTTGCTAACAGGGCTTAGCAGTGCATTGTCTATACCCAAAAAGTGGGCATCTGAAATCACCACGGATTTTCAAAATATTGTTTTAAAGCTTATCTTAGATAAAAGAGACCTAATTGGTTTATGTTCACCGGTGTCCTGATACTCTGGCTTATAACAAAGAATGAAAAATAGGCCTATATCTAGAGGGAAGTCATCCTGTCTCTCAACATTCTAAAACATTCACTCTCACTTCTTGATAAATCTGGAATTGAGTGAAAATGATTCCTTTCTGAAAAAAAAAAAAAGGCATTGTAAGTCCCATTCTTAATTGGCAAAGAATTAACAACAGGTTCAGACTTACTTATCGGTAGGTTCACCTTTGGCTAGTTTGTCAGCACAAGCGATAGCTCCTTTGTGAAGCCAGCAATATGTGTCCACAGCTACTGCCTGCCCTTTATACTTCCTCACGTGGATGGGTTCAGAAGCTTCTTTGATGAATTGCAATAATCCGTGTATCCCCATAGTGCCAAGTTAACTACATGATATGAAAAGAGGAAGGGAAAATGACCATATTTAAAGCAAAATACATCTGCCCAAAAGTTTTATAAGCATGAAGAAAAAGAGCTTGGAAACTGACATAACTGTTACTATTTAGATATTTGAGCATCACTACTCTTTAATATTTTAACTGGGCTACTTTACTCCCAGCCAATTTCCATAGTCTTGAATATTTAGACTAATCACTAATGCTGTCCTTAATGCCACTAGACAATTCCTTAATGCTTATTCTTTCCAAAATGCTTTCTTACTTGGAATAATAAGATGCTCTAAGCCCCTAACAGTACTAGGCACAAAGGAGGTTCTAAAAAAAGTATGTTTCTCTTCTTCAAAAAGGTATTATTAAAATCTATGACATCACATTGCCTCTCCCGCATGCGTTGTAAGAGCTAACATGCAAATCAGCACAGTAGTGGAAACTCGAAAATTTGTAGGCATTTCACTGAAAAACAAAAGAAACAGAATTACAGAACTAGATCTGCTCGTTTTTAGGCCTGAAATTCACTGCCACCAGAATGCATTATTCCAGCAATGAGCATTCTGTTATATAAGCCGCGGGGGGTGGAGGGGGTGCCTAGGGACAACTCCACACTCTCTGCAGGCTACCCCGTGAGATGTGAACCGGTGTCTGCAGAGCAAACACAGCTTCAGGACGAATTCTCTAACTTCCCACCCTCTTCCTCCCAGATTGCAGCCTCTGAGCCCTATTTATACAAAAAATTGTGGCGCTGCCACGGTCCTTTCCCAGACCACTATACCTCGCCCACACCACTTCCCATGATAAAAGTAAAAGCGTGGGCGCTGAGCAGTTGCTTAGCATTTCCTAACATTAAATCTCTCCCACCAAGCATTAGGTTTGGGAGGAAAGTGCAGGATCAGAAGTCAGCCTTACCCTGTTGATACTGTATCAAAGCTCTGATGCTCTCGTCCAGCGGTTCTCAAATTTCGGAACTTGGAAGATTTTCAACTCCTCACCTAGTGACTATGATTCACTAGTTGTGGAGTGAGGAGGATTCTGAATTGCACACACCGCAGGTAACGTCGACGCAGGCGGTCCTCAAGCCAGCTTGAGTAAAACAGTCTCCGACCTCTCGGATAGCGTCCCTAAACAGAGTTTCTTTTCACTCTGGGGAGAACTGGCACAGTACACATGTCGAGAAACTTGTATGTTTCTTCTAGGCTAGGTAAGTATTCTGGAATAAGTACGCCCTCTGCAGCACAGCTGGAGCGACCGCGTGCCGCGCTGCACGTCGCATCTCCGGGAGAGCCAGGTCCGCGAGCTACCAGCGGCCGCGGCGTCGCCGCCCTATTCCAGTCCCATTGGTAGGAGGAGAGGCCCGCAAGCCCCGTCCAGAAACACGCTTCCTTGGGCCTGCACGACAGTAAGACAACACTGTACTTGTTAACGCCTCAACGTTGGCGGATTGCCTGTAAAAACGGGGCCGGTAGTGTCTGCTGACAGCAGAGCACTCGGGCGACCCGGGCGCTCTCCGCCGGTCTCCGGGCGCGCCCCACCCGGCGGCCCTTTGGCGGCTGCCTCGGCCCTCCGCGGGCTCTGCCGCGAGGTCGGGACCCAGCAAGGCGGCCCAGGCCTCGGCGCGGCCCGCTCCGCTCCCTCTCCGGGGAGGGCTCTCTCCGTGCTCCCCCGGGCCGCAGGATAAGGGCTACGAGACTCACCGAGGCGGGCGCAGAACGCGAGGAGCCGGGCTGCAGCCGCGCGCCCAATGCAGGGTAGACCTTTCAATTTGCGCGGGAGCTCACTCGGCCCGCCCGGCGGAAGTGACGCCAGCGCGCCGCCGACCGCGCTTTTCGTGGCCCCCGCTTCCGGTTTCTTAGCCCCCAGCTGGCAGACGCGATGGCGGCTCGCGGCTCTGCCATTCGGCCGCCGCTACCCGCCTGACCCCTGGGCGGCCTCCTGATGGCGCGCGGAACCCGGAGCCGTGAGCCGATGGGAAACGGTGTTCCGGAAGTTGGGCGTTCTCGCTCTCGCCGGGACTGCTGGGAGTAGTAGTTCTCTTCCAGCCGAAGCCGCTGAAATTTAAAGAGCGCCGCCGCCCTCTCGGTGTGGGGGTTTTTAAACCTGAAAAAGTGTCGCTGCGAGAATTAGGGTCTCCGTCGTCGTATTGTGCTGCTAACTCCAAGGCTCTTCAGAGTTATAGCATTCTTTGGACCCTTTCTGTGGACTCTGGGAAGGGAGATGGGCGCTTAGTAAACAATTTAACCGTGAAGTGACAAAAATTATCTCTGTGACCAAACTAGCCATACTCCAGTGAGCCCTCTGCCCTGCCGGGCCTCAACCTTGTACTCTGGAGACTTGATCAAACACTAACATGGTTTCTAACCGCTCAAGGCCACGTTCCTAGGATGACCCTGGGTCCGTTAAAGTGCCTGCCTTGGAAAACGGAAGACTGCCCCAAGAATGTACTGCTCCTACTCTTTCCAGCCAACTTTGAAGATAGGGTGCCTCCCAGCCTCTGGGGAAGCATAGGGTGCTAACCTCTATAAGCGCTAGTTAGCAACTATACATACTCTCCCTGATTTTTTTTTTCAGTTCCCTGAATCTACGGAGCCCCAATTCACTCCTCTCCACCTTTCTCTTTAACCTCCTCTACCCCCGACCCCAGTCACCTCAATACAAAACAAAGTTGGGAGCTGGACTTCTCCCTATTACAGTAGTATATTACTGATTAAAATCTGTCCTTACCGTTGTACCTAGTGTCCACCTTTGTTAATCTTTGATATAAATCAGGGGAAACTTTATAACCATATAATCAAGAAAATGGGCCTAATGTTGCACAGACATTAAAGGCATTTTGGACCTTGGTGGCCACTTGGGGTGAGGCTTCCAGTCCTTAAAACACTCTAGGCTTGGTTGCTGTCTTCTTCTCTTAGGGGTATTGTGGTAAAAAAAAAAAATTGGAAAGAGCTTTGGTTAGGCCGGACCACAAAGTATGTTCTGGACCCAGAGGTGGGCAGGAATAATAATCCAGATTCAGTTTAAAGAGTTGAAGGGAAAGAACCACACTTTAAAGAATGCTCCCCATTTGATTACCTTGTCTACACATTTCTTGCATGGTTCTTGTAGTTTTTTCGTGATCCGTCTAACTCACACCTCATGCAATATATTACCTTAGAAATTATTGATAAAAGCTGCCACTTTGGGGGAATGTGCTCAGCAGAAACAGGGCTGCATCCTTTCTAGTTTTTGCCTTTAGGGCTGAGGCTAGGAGAGGAGGTCAGAAAAGTTATCTTCCCTTGCACTTCAACAGCTGTGGTAGACATCAGTAGGGGAAGGAGGGGGCAGTTCCAAACTGCAGTAGGTTAAAGGGGAGCTTAAGTGTGGGTGGGGTGTGTTTGCAGAGAAGTGTTCTTACAGTCATTGGACTACAGCTGTAGTAATCAAATCCAGCCAAGACTTGCTACCCGTGGGGGGCCTTAGGAAGGAACAAAAAGATGCCCATTGCAACCACATTGAATCCATGGTGAAATTAACACAGGAGGTTGCTGCGTTACATACAGCCCACAATTCACTACTAATTTATGACTTCCAAGTTCCAGACTAGATTCTTGGCTGTAACATTTGAAGGCTGAAATTAAAGAGGAAGACATCAATTAAAAATGATTTCACTGAACAGAGTGATTTACTGTTTGCAAGGAGAAGACCATTTGAATCAATTCATGCAGTAATTTACTACATGTCTTAGGTATGCCTGTCAGTACCAGGCGGTATGGGGAACACAAGGAAATGGCCCCTGTCTTCAGTCAACTTAGGATCTAGTTCTGGAGACTAAACATATATGCATCAAAAAGGTAAATAACAAATCATGATGGTGTGTTATTAAATTCAATGAGTGGTACTGCTCATAAATTATCAGCAGAGGACTGAGATGTAATTGTTACCTGCACCCTGACATCTTTGCCATGCGCCCAAACACCCTGAGAAGATACCCCTTGCCCTGGCACTTGTTATACTCTCTCTTGTTATATCATTTTGATTGACTCAGTCGCCCAGATTTTAGCAAATAATACAGGCCTAGTTAAATTTGAACTTCTAATAAACAATAGATACATACTTAATGTAGATTCAATATCAGATATATTTTAGTATGTCTAATGCAGTATTTGGGACGTATCCAAAAAATCCATATTTATCTGAAATTCAGATTTAACTGGGCATTTTGTATTTTTATCTGGAAACCTTACCTTGGGGGCAGGGATTATATATACTAATTTTCATATCTCTGCAGTCCAGTACCAGTGTTGATAAAAAATGTGTGAATTTGTGGGCTAATAAATGAATGTCCTAGGTATAGCACCACACATTCTGGATTTTCTGGGCACCCCTGAAAGTACCCTGACTTTTACTTTGGAAAATAGTGCCTCTATTGTTTTGGATCAGTGTTTTTCTAAAATGTGGAATGGGGAGATGATTTGGAGCCCGAGGACTCAGTGGGCATTCGGGGCCCCTCTGGGATGCTCTCCTACCTTTGCCTAGTTTCAGACCGTGTTGCTACACTTGCAGGTGAGCGGCACCAGTTCCCCTGAAGCACACACCAGCACTTTTCAACCAGAGATGTGGGAGTGGGGGTGCTCAGGTGGCATGATGGGAAGGCTTTTCCTCAGAGCTAAATTTCCCTCTAAGTCAGGGAGACATGGACCTGGGGACAACCTCAAGTGCTGGGTGAGTCAGCATCCTTTTGGTCATAGAGTTGTGTGGACTGTGTTTTGATTTTGTTCCTCTGTTGAATTCAGTATGAGGAAGTGTTAAAACAGGATGCTTAAAGTGTAATGGTGAAGATGATTATGAAACAGCGAACAGTGGTAGTGATGGTTATGCAGACACGGAACAGAATGCCCTTTTCCCCTGATCATTAGGAGCTCTAGTTTGCTGATTGAGGAACTTATTCTTAGGCAATCATTTTTGCAGCTCAGTTTGACTGATTTTTACTTACATTTACTTGTTTTTACATCTTTAAATTATTTTAATTGAATGACTTGTTTTCATGGTATTTTTATAGTTACTTCTATTATAGCAAGTCATACTATGGAATTTGCATTTTAAATAAAACCTAAGTTAAAAATGAGTCAATTTAAAGAAAACCTGCTAAGCAAGTAAGAGGCAAATATGAGTAAGTGGAGTTTCCAAAACAGTCATTTCTCTCATCTTTAAAATATTCCTTTGACTATTGTCCCATTCTCAGCTCCCCTAATGATAACTTTCTTAAAAGAATTGTCTGAAAAAAGGAGCTTTGTCAAGTTCTTACTATCTCAGATTCTTCCATTCACTATTGTATATTTTTCCTTTTTAAAAGTTGATGTATAATGTATACAGAAAGGTACACAAATGCTAAGAGATTACCACAAAATGAGCACAACATATTACATCCACTCAGCCCTCCCAGAAGACCCCTTCTATCCCCTTCCCAATGATAAATATCTCTGCTCTCCTCAAAGGTAACTATAATCTGTCCTCTAACTGCATGTATTAGTTCTGCCTTTTTTGTAAAGTTTATATAAACAGAGTCATGCAGTTTTTATTATATAGCAGTTACCTTCTTTTCCATACCATGTGTTTGAGATTCATCCATGCTATTGGAAGAACCTGTAGTCTTTTTTCTTTCTCATTTTTTATGTACAATTAATTACATTATGTAGTTATAATTTATCCATTCTAGTATTGATAGATACTTATGTTGATTTCAGGTTTTGGCTATTATTAGTAATACTTCTATGAACATTCTTATGACTTCATGTGCATGTGACTTCACCTCCTACTATCCTTGCTTTTTGAGCCACATTAGCTTCCTTGTCTTTCTTTAAACATTCCGGGTACATGCCCACCTCTAGGCCCTTGCACAGGCTGTTCCTTCTTCCTAAAATGCTCTTCCACTAGATATCCACATGACTTTCTCCTACATTTCTCTTAGGCTTTTGCTGATAGGTTCCCTCTAAGTGAGGCATTCTCTTACAATGCCACATTAAATTGTAATTCCTATCCCTACCCTGGACACCTAATTTTCCTGGCTCATAGTAGATTCCCAGTAAATACTAGTTGAATAAATGAGTGAATGAATATTGAAATTAGCTACTAGCCTGTATACCAAATAGTCACTAACATTTTTAGAGCTTTGGATAATACAGCTATTTGCAAAGCTGTTTTACAATCAAGTTAAACAATCAAGAAGTTATCAACATGAAATCAGGAAGACAATAGACACAATCCTAACTGAGAATTTCTGGGTGCATGGATGCCTTTTTCTGACTTTGGCCCTCAAAGCTGCTTTTGCTGCTGAGCACTAGGTAAATGGGTGGGACAGGGCCTCTGCCATCACAGCCAGGCTGATTCTTCTTTCTCTTGTGAGGTCTTTTGTAAGTCACATGTTTGGGGCCTCGGGGGGCCTAGGGGCTCAGACTAAGGGAGCTCCTTTGCCCACTGTTGTGGGGGCAGTTGATCACTAATGATCCTTGGTATTACTACAACTTTGTCATGGCCCCAGGTTATTTACTCTTCTCAGCGCCTCAGCTTTTGGGTTCAGTTTTGTTTTGAAAAAATTCAAAGTGCAAAATGTTCAGGGAATGCTACCCAGTTTTCTGGTGAGTTTGGGATCTGTCATACCATAGGCACCAAATGGATATTGTTCTTTGGACTTTAGCGAGAAGGTGTGACATGCATCGGGATATCAGGGTAGTAGTTGCAAGTTGTCAGCTGATGGAGGACATTCATTTACCAGGGACACTTCTTTTGAAAAATTCAGTGAAATACAACCTGGAACCATGAAACAGACATCAGTACATCAGTAGAGTGAGAACAACAGCCAGAACAGCCTGCTTAGTGAGGAGAAACCCAAGATGGAGAGGCTCA